ACCACAACTATTTCATCTGGAGTTACTAACTTTGGATAGCAATCCATGGAACTGCACCTGTAGTCTACTCGAGTTGCAGAACTGGCTGAACACATCTCATGTGATATTAGGTAAGCAAGAAGACAATGTAACTGAACTTTGATGGCGTGTCATAATAGAGGAGATAAAAGAAAACAGCTTGGCTGGAAGTATTGCTCACTGATAGACTCAGGCCTTGAGCTTCAATTTCTAGAACAGTTAAAAATAAATCAAAACCATAAGTAAATAAATAAATAATAAAAATAAACCAAACTAAACTAAACAAATAACAAGAAAAAGCAAAAGACCATCCAGAAGAAACTGTAGAATAGACACGCCTTCACCTCACCTAGTAGGGGGAGGTAATTTAAACATTGGTATATGCAAAAAAGATAGTATTAAACACAGTCATTATATACTATTAATTCTACATGTCAGGTGTGGTAGTGCACACGTTTAATTCTAGAACTTGGGAGGCAGAGGCAGACAGAGTTCTGTGAGTCCCAGATCAGCCACAGTGAGATCCTAGCTTAAAAAAAAAAAAAAAAAAGTAATTTTCCTGCATATTTCCTATATATTATTTAAGGTATTGTACCACAAAAATACCCAATTGGCTGATTACTTGTTTTCCAGACTGGGGCTTGAATTCAGGGTATTGTCTTATTTTTGTTAACTGCACATTATTATGCTCTGCTTAGGATCCAGGTAATAACAATAATCTTAATAGTAAGACTTTCTAACATACAAACTAAATAACACATACTGCCATTAACCTGTATATTATTAACCTGTATAAAGGGAATATATATACATATACATCAACACTCACGTTGACATGCAAATTCATCAAAAGTTTATTTCTTACAATAAAAATTTTGTTTTTTTGCATGTATGTGTGTGTGCCATGAGTGTACCCAGTACCTGAAAAGGAAGGAAGAGGGCACTGGATCTCTTAGAACTAGAGTTAAGGATGCTCATAAGCCAACATGTGGGAGTTAGAAATTAAACATGGATTCTCTACAAGATTAGCAAGTGCTTCAACCACTGAGATATCTCTCCAGTCCTTCTTACTATCTCTCTAATGAGACCAACTTATCAAAAACTCTAAATCAACATCATGTTATGAACCACTTCTATTGTGTATAACACATCTCCATTTATTTCATTACCAGAAAATGAGAGCATCACCAAGTGTAGCTACCCAGATGACCTAAAGCACTACAGCATCAAGTCAGCACCCTTTTCAACTGAATGCCACTCTAAATTTATCTCCACTATAACTGAAGATCTTTATATTAATTTTCAGTCTATTAGGAATTCAACTTCTAATAGCTCCTTCAACAACTTAACAAAGAACTCAGGTAATGTACTGGTTTTGAATATTATTACTGCTGCAAACCACACAATTCTGTCTTTCACTATTTTGAGTTTCTATGACCAATGTAAAAGAACAATTCATCTCAATGAAGATTTACAAAATATTGAGATTCCAACTGAAGCTCTGTTAGACATCAAATGCACATGAAATTGTGTATTAGTTGGCTATTTTACTAGTCAAGTCACCACACTTTACAAGTATAAGTTAATGGTTTTACATGAGCTGATAATAATACCGGGTTTTATTTTAATATGAACCTACTGTATGTACATGAGAGGAGATACAAGTCTACACACAAAATTCATTTGTGTGTCAAAAATACCACATGCATGTAGTCTGAACATAATTTTACACCAAATTTACTTTTTGGGCATCTGTGTTTTTACTGTGGCCTGATTCTTGAGAATAACTATGGAATTTCCACTTGTGAAATCATGCTAGTGCTCAGAAGTTAGTTACAGATTTTTGGAGCATCTTGGGTTTTTTTAAATTAGAATTGTTCAACCTTTAGTCATTTTAGAAAACAATGTTCTTTGATCAAATTTTTCTTTAGTGTATTAGTAACTTTAGTTCAAAGAAAACTGTAAAGTATGTTCCTTTCAAACACTGCTTGACTTTTGTCAACTTAACAAAATCTCTCTCTCTTCTGTTTAAGAACATGAACCTCTTGGAAAAAGCTGGGCTCTCCTTGTTGGAGTTGTCATCACTGTACTGCTAACTTCACTTCTCATCTTTATTGCTATCAAGTGTCCAGTATGGTATAATATTCTGCTTAGTTATAATCATCATCGCCTGGAAGAGCATGAAGCAGAAATCTATGAAAATGGTCTTAGTAGAAACCCAAGTTCTCTTTCACAAATCACAGACACAAACTCTGAAGACACCACAGTAATATTTGAACAGTTGCATTCATTTGTGGTAGATGATGATGGGTTTATTGAAGACAGATATATAGATATCAATGAGGTACATGAAGAAAAATAATTTCATCATGTTGAAAATGTAAAAAATATTATCAGTCTACTTATAGCTTAGACAAAAGATTTTTATTTGACAAACAAAACTATAACCAGCAGACCTTCATATTAACCAGTACCTTATATAAATATCATACAATTATTTTTTTACTGCATTGCACAATCAAGCCCAAATGCAGTAACTCATACTCTGGTTAGCTAAAAGTTGAGTAATTTACCACTAGCATTTACTACTATCAAGAATATTCAAAGTACAAACTGGTAAAAAACAAAGCCCATGGATGATTATTTAACTAAAATGAAATTATTATGGTATTAACAAATTAACATATGCTACAGTATCTGAAATTATACTAAATTTTTAATCAATAGATAAAAAATTTAGATTTATATCATCAAAGTGAGGAACAAGTGAGCTTTAACTATATAAATTGGTCTTATGCTCACAAATGAATTCACGGAATTAGAGAATAGTTTTTAATGCTGCCTTAATCTGAAAAACAAAATTTCCTTAAAAATTGGTAGCAATTTAAAGCATAGGTACAATAATCCCTAATAATCACTACCTGGCCAAATTACCAAAATAATCTGAATTTAAACAAGGTGAACTAAGATTCTTTCCTTTAGTGCTTATACAGATTGTACTAACCTGAGGTGTTCCCTGATAACTTAGAGTAAAACATTGAGTTTTGAAGAGCATTTACATAGCATGTGCAATACCCTAGGTTTTCATTCCCTCCATGCCTCCCTTTCTCCACCAGCACCGCCCCCCCCCCCAACACAGACACAGAAAGAAACTTTACTCGATAACCAAATCCTTTCTTGGAAATAAAGCTAACAGCTCACAGCACATTAATAGACCAAAGGACACACCTTAGAAATGCTAGCCCTAAATAGTAAGAGTCTATCTAGAGTGAAATGTTTACCAATTCTCTTATACTGGCTTGGCTGCAAATATAATTTGAACCACTTACCATTTTAAATAGTGGAATTAGCAAACTTTGTGTTTTACCATTCTATATGTGGGAAAACTATGTGTATTTACCTGAATATTTTAGAGATAAGGCTATCTGTAAAACACTGCACTGTATTCATGGGTGAAATATGTACCATACTTCCTGATTTTCTTCAACCACATAGATGGAAATGGACAGTGACTAGAGTGGGAGATGGAGCACAGCTGAAAATGTGCTGACATAACTTACTTGGGAATGGATGCATGGGTACCCAATGCTCCAATTCCAATGTTCCAATTTCTAATAAATAAAGATATTCAAAAGAATATACAGGATAGGGCTGGAGAGATGGCTCAGAGGTTAAGAGCAGTGGTCCTGCATTCAATTCCCAGCAACCATATGGTGGCTCACAACCATCTATAAATTTGCTCAATGGTTTCAAAGCAGGAGTGAAAGGAAGCAAGAATGAGCTTGGTATTCTTTGTATAAGGAAAAGGCTGCCAGTTTTCCCACATTTAAGAAAGCTATGTGCAGCATTATTAATGATCGGTGGGGCAAAGATACTCCTTTTTTCTAATTAACAGAGGAATTATGTTTCGCTTCCAAATATTCCATCACTGTATATAACAACCTGTTCTTCATACATGGGAGTGTATTTGGTGTTAATAAATTTCAATAATTTTAGTTAAAAATTGTCCTTGCTCTCAAACAGATTAACAGTAGTGAGTCTCTGGAACACCATAGTTCAACTTTTACACTTACCATTTGCTGCTGTATTTAATATGGGTCAAAACTAATTTTAAAAATTATTCTAATTCACATTTATTATCTTTGTAGATCACTGTTACTTTTATTATTGAAATCAAAGCTAGTTCGTATTTAGTCTTTATAAATAAGTTATGTACAAATACACATAGTCTATATACAGCATAGAGAATATCAATATAATTATCATCAATGTCAGTTAATGTACAAAGTCTACTGACCAATAACTTTTCATTAAAGTAGAACCAAAATGTCATAATTCAAATTAGTCTAGGATAAATTCTAAGAGTAGATGTAAAGACATAATTCATCTTATAGTTTAAGTTCTTAAAAGCAGAAGTCGAATTTATAGAATTGGGTAGTTCTTTCTTTTCTATAAAATTTAGCTCCTTGGAAGTAAATTAAGATAGCAGAATTTGACATTAAGATAAATTTTGTATTGAGATATTATGGTAAATTAGGAAAAAATGATACATGTTCTATTACAAATACATACTTTAAATGTAAGAGGTCAATAAGATATCAGTTATGGTTGTTTTTGTTTTGTTTTGTTTTGTCTTATTAAGACAGGGTTTCTCTGTGAAACAGCTCTGGTTGTCCTGGAACTCATTTTGTAGATTAGGCGGGCCTCAAACTCAAAGAGGTTCACCTGTCTCTACCTCCCAAGTGCTGTGATTAAAGACATTCACTAATACATCCAGCCCAGATGTCATTCATATCTGTGGTCCCAGTACTCAGGAGGGTGAGGCAAGAAGATCATTGTGAATTTGAGGTAGCCTACACTACAAAGTAAGATACTGCCTCATAAGAATCCAACAGTTAGCTAATTAATTTAAAAACAAATTAAGAGAAAAAGTTAAAATTTTATAAGTTATAAGTTAAAAGTTTATAAGAATTTGAACTTACGCTTGTCTTTCGGTGAATATGACATCCATACTCTGTGTTTCTCGATCATTTTGAGCTTTAAGCTGTGTAAACAGTTAACAAAAAAGTTAGTTATTAAAAAAAGGTTACTCTGGTTATGAACTCAATGAGATTACTGTGATCATGCAAAAGTGTAAAAAAATTAAAGAAAAAAAAATACAACTTTCATCTAACAGAGAATACTACCAGATAAATTAGTCCTTTATATTGACATAGCACACACCAAAATAATGCATTTTTCTTTAGTGATTTGTCCAATAATTAAATTTAAACTTAATTTATGTAAAAACCATTTTAAAAGCACACTGTATGTTCAATAAATATTTGGTTAGCCATATGCTGACTTTAGAACCAATGCAATTTTGTTCTTAAGTCTTTCATGACTTCCTAAATACTCCTAGCTGACTATATGGGCACAGACTTGAAACTAAACCTATCCCAAATAAATGATCAAATACTTTTCAAAGTTTTTATGTTTATTTCTAGCAATAAAATTCGTTTCTAAGTTTGTGAAACTAAAAATAATTTATGAAATTGTTTTAGAACCCCAAATTTAAACTCTTTTTAAAAATTCTGTTTTTTTTAGTCAGGCTGATGTGGGGCACACCTCTAATCTCAGCATTTAAGAGGCAGAGAAAGGCAGAGTTTGAGGCCAGCCTGGTCTACTAAGAAGGAGTTCAAGGACAGCCAGAGATACACAGGGAAACCCTATCTCAGAAAAAAAAAAAAAAAAATGCTATTTTCACAACATTCTTTGATCATGTAAATAAATTATAAGCTATAAAATTTTGTTATGTTTTGGGATGGGGGTTGGGGGAAAAGGGGGTGAGGGGAGGGTGAGGGAACTGGGATCGATATGTAAAATAAGCTTGTTTCAAATTTAAATAAAAAAAATATTATCACTAAAAATTTGTTTTATCCAAATGTTTAAAATGAAAATAAGTTAGATATTACCATGAAGACTGAACATAAATTCTCATTTACTAAAGTTAGTATTATTAGCTATACCAGATAACATATCCATTCCCTTTTGTCCTTGTTATAAAAACTATGAGGACGTGCTGGAGAGACGGCTCAGCAGTTAAGGTCACTTGCTGCTCCTCCAGAGGACCTGTGTTCATTTTCCAGCACCCACGTGGAGGCCCACACCCGTGTTACTCTAGTCCAAGGCAACCTAATGCCTTCTTCTGGCCTCTGAGGGTACAAGGCATAGACATTCATGCAGACAACACATACACACACACTTTAAAAAATTAACTAAAAAAAACTATACAAAGATTTTTAAAGATATTGTTTTCATTGAGCTTTAATTCCATTTGTAAAAAAATTAAAACCTAAAGAAACATTTTTTAAAACAGTTATAAACAAAATATTGTTAACTAATATATATCCAAGCAATATAAATGGTTCTTCCCTAGTGCAAGATCAGTTGAAACAGAACTTTATTGACATTAAACATTACTCCAACAGCAACAGGGATATAAAAGATTAATGAAAGGCACTGAACCATAATTGCAATAATTATGATATATATGTCCAAAGATTTTACAAAACCATTTCTGTACAAATGCTTTATTTTATAGACATGATTTATATACAATTGTTACTTATATTTATAGATTTTCTTACCATGTTGTAATCATTCATTACTTCTTCCATTTCAGTATTGGTATTGAGTTTATCTACCAACTAAAAGTAAAAATATAACAAAAAGCACCATTTTGTTAGCCTCAACATTCTAGGTAAGTCTAAATATACACACTTGTTTTCATAAACAGTCATTTCAGTGTTAATACTACCAAGTGTCTTCCTTTAAGAAAAAATAGTGAGCTACAGTGAAAAACAAGATTGAAAAACTGACCATACTCTTCATTTGGCCAATAAGTAAACTAAATGTTTGGTGTGGAAAAGTGAGAAGTGATGAAGGGGAAATAAAAAAGGCAATATAATTTCTGTAGTTTTATAGTTCCAATTTCTTCACAAGAAATATGTATATACAATTGTATATTATTTGGTATTTAAAATATATTTTAAGTGGCAAGAGCACAAAAACAAAACATCAAGAGAAATTCTGAGAAAAAAGGCAATACCATGTTGTAGTCTGCTAGTTGTCCTTGAAAGTCTTTAATTTCAACAGCTAATGTCTCTGCCCTATAACAAAAGCAAATGCATTCATAAATACATAAGTAAATCAAAATTAAGAACCATATGGATGGTGTCATATTTAATAAATTATGTTCACAATACTGATTGAATATTGAATTAGTGGTATGGATGCCTAATAAAGATATTGCATGTTTTAACTGCAAAATTACTCACCTCTTCTCATATGACAAATATACTGAATTTTCTTGGTTGTACATTTCTATCTCTTTCTGGAGTTTATTAATTTCAGTTGTAAGTTCACTTATTTTGCTCCTAAGTGAAAAGAAAGAAGAAATTTAGGAATGCTTTTAGGAAGACTACTAGTTATAAATTTGGTTGTGAGCCTAGCCTTTAACGGCCAAGCCATCTCTCCAGCCCGAAGGCTACTAGTTAAACAAAATAAACTTTTCATAAGTGTGTAACAATATGTATGCTTTATCAAATTCATTTAAAAAGAATAGTTCCAGGGATTTTTGTGACTAAGAATGGTTGATGGGGGATATCCTTCTGTACAGTGGGAATATATGTTTCTCTAAATGGCTGATGAATAAAGCTGTTTTGGCCAGTGGACAGGCAGGCTGTAGCCAGGCAGGAAGTATAAGCAGGGCTACCACACTAGGAGAATTCTGGGAAGAATGCAGAGAATGAGTCATGAGAGACACTATGTAGCTACCAGCAAAGTAGGACACCTGAGCATTCTCCAGTAAGCCAAGACTGCATGGAAATACACAGATTAATAGAAATGGGTTAATAATTAAGAGAGCTAGCCAATAAGAAGCCTGAGCCATAGGCTAAACAGTTTATAATTAATATAAGCCTCTGTGGGATCCGGTAGAACAGAAACTTCTGTCCACAATTGGTGACTATGTCATCTTATTCCACTGAACAAATGAGAAAAATTAACTGATAGCGTCTCTAATCATCAAGAAAGATAAAATAGGCTAGATGTTGTAGTACACACTTTTGATCCCAACTCACAGGGGAGGCAGAGACAGGAAGATCATTACAAGTTTGAGGATAGCCTGGTCTATACAGTGAGTTCCAAATCAGCTAATGTTACAAAGTAGGGCACTGTCTCAAAAAAACAGAAGCAAAACCAAAACCAAACAAAGGAAAAATGGAGATGCATCACTAGGACATTTGAGGAGAGAAAGCTATTGGGTAGAGAATAATTAATACAGCTTAGTAATCAAGACCAGGGTTCAGTTTCTAGCATCTACATGGCAACTCATAACTATCAGACTTCCAGTGGAGCCAAGGCTCTCTTCTGACTTCCACAGGCAAAGGGCACAAATGTGCTGCATTACATACATTCATATATAATATTCAAAAACATAAAATTAAAATAATGTCTGTCTTTTAAAGTTCTTCACTTAGAGACTTAATTAAAAGGCCTGAAGCCAGACATGGTGGCGCACACCTTTAATCCCAGCACTCAAAAGGCACAGAGGCAGGTTGACCTCTGTGAGTTGAGGCCAATGTTGCCCACATAATGAGTTCCAGGACAGCCAGGGCTATACAGTGATACCCCAACTCAAACTAATTACAAAAAAGGAGGGGCTTATAAATTAAAATTAGGGCAAGCATATATCAAATGGCCAAATATAATCTTACATAAAGCTCTGTGGGGATTAAAGTATAAATAAATAAATAAATAAATACTTCTTTCCTTTCTTCTTAGTACAGTGATATTTCAATTATATGAATAATATAAAAAGCATAAAAGATTGTCACTTCATGAAAAAAAGCAAACTTCATGATATAATTTGAATGTCTGTGTTCCCTCTAAAATTTATTGTGAAACTTGCCGAGTGGTGGTGGTGCATGCCTTTAATCCCAGCACTCAGGCAGGCAGATGGATCTCTGTGAATTAGATCTACATAGTGAGTTCCAGGATAGTGGGGCTACAGAGAAAGACCTTGTCTCAACTTGCTCTCTCCACCCACTTCCTTCCAAAAGGGAATTGAGCCTTTTAGTTTGTAATTAGGCCATGAAGGCTACTTCATGGATGTTGGTGCTTTACAAAAGGTCTAGGAAGAGCTATGTGGGTCCTTTCCTCCTCCATGATACAAAGTTAAGAAGGCGCCACCTGTAAGGAATAGGCCCTAACTAGGCACCAAAGCTCCTAGTGCCTTAATCACAAGGCTTCCCAATTTCTGCAATTATAAGAAATAAAGTCTTTTAATTTATAACTTAACCAGTCTCGGGTATTTTATTAGAGCGGCACAAACAGACTGAGACAAAATATATAGATACATACACAAAACTACATAAAACCATAAAGTCTCAGCCTAGGGCTGAGGAGACAGTTTACTTGATAAAGTACAAGGACCTGAGTCCAATACCCAAAACCTATGTAAAACAGCTGGGTTTGGTGGTCCATGCTTGTAATTCCAGCCCTAGGAAGGCATGAACAGGAGGCTCACTGAGGTTCAAGAGTCAGCAGCCTAGCCTACTTAACAAGCTCCAGGGCAGCAAAGAGATCTTGTCTCAAAAACAGGTGGACAGTGTCTGAAAAGTGACACTTAAGGTAATCCTCCAGCATCCACATGCACCCACACAACTATATGAGTATTAACCCACATGTGGGCACAGGAGTACACATGTACATGCACTTCCTTGTATTAAATTTCAGTCTAATTGTATTATCATGCAGTATAATGTACTAACCAGAAATTATGTTCAAATATAAATTATTCTTAGAATGTAAAAGGTAACTAATTATTGAAATAAACACAACTAAAACTCCAAGGTCATGCATATAAAACATTTATTTTACATACCTAAGAAGTCCAAGATAGTAAGATTTGTCTAAAATTTGCCTCTGGGGACCTAAAAAAAAGTTTTTAATGTGAATATTAATGCTCTGTTATAAAATAACAAAAATAATAAATCCAAAGCACAGCCACCATTACATGCCATGGTTCTTAGACATTCCTCATGAATGTCTCAATACATCATGAAGAACCACTGAAAATGAGTATCCTAAAATCATGACATAAAGGAGGCTGAATTTAGAACACAAGGATCAGACTCTGGTCTCAAGAACTGGTTCAGCAGTTAAGAGCATATTCTGCTCTTCCAGAGACCCAAGTTCAATTACCAGCACCCACACTGGGTAGTTCACAACTGCCAATAATTCCAACTCTAGGGAATTTGAGAACCTCTGCTAGCTTGCACACGGCACTTATGTGTACAGACCCACACACAGATACACACATGGCCAATAAATGCCATTCTCAGGTGAAAGCTAGCAAAAAGAATTTCAAAATACTTTTATGTAATAATTAAAATCTAATTCCAAACCATAAACTTTTCTTCCAATTTCTTCCAGTTGTAGCAAAACTCCATGGTCAGAAAAATGTAGCTGAAAGTATATATATACATACATACATATGTACGTACGTACGTGTGTGTATGTGTGTGTGTGTTCATATGGCAGTCTAGTTCACATGTATTCTATTATTTCACAACAATTTTATAAGTCAAAGCATAAGAACTACATGCTATGTTACTCATTTATTAAGAACAAAATATATTCATCTTCATAAAATAAATACCTTTCATCCCAGTTTTCATTCCACTCAAACCTTGTTGGGTTACAGGACGATCAGCAACTTTGATTTGAGATGACAAAACTCCACCAGTCCCTAAGGGACCACCACGAGAACCTGGTCTTGCTGTTGTTGGTGGCATCTAAATGACAAGCAAAATTTCATCTTTATTAAACCAGGGGTGGGGAGGGAACAGCACATATAGATCTACTAGCCTAAGATTATAAAGAGAATTTTTCTAAAATTTGAATGTCTATACAGTTTATAAGTTCAAGGCTGGCTTGAACTACATATCAAAAGAAAAAAAGAAAATGAACAAAAAAAATTAAAAGTAGGGCCAGTTAGATAAGGGCGCTTATTGGCCAACCTTATGATCTAAGCTAGATTCCTGGGCCCCATGCAGTAGAAGGGAACTGCCTCCTACTGGTCTCCTTCTGACCTTCTCATGGGCCCCACCGCATGTGGCTCCCCACTTTTCTACCCAGATAAATAAATAAATGTAAGAAAAAATCTTGAAATATCATTATTTCTCTATAATGATGTTATAATTGATTTTCTCCTTTATAGAATCTGGTGTTTTAAGTATTATTATAGTGAGCATATATTTTCTTTAAAATTAGGAAAAAACTTTTCATATAAAAAAAAAACAATACTATTACATATCCTGAGTAAAAATCACAACTCTCTTCTTGTCAACTATACAGCACATAAGTCATGGGAAATTATAAAAGGCAATGTGAAACCATTCCAAAATTCCCCTCTGTATCTTCTACCTTTTTTATCCTTTTGCTTTTATTTCTCTCTGTGTCAAAAACTAACATACAGCAAAAGATTAAATATGGGGTAGAAATATTAGACTATTGAACTTTTGCCATTTACTTTGTTGGTTTTATATCTGTTAGCTGGTAGCCTTTAACACTATCAAACAACGTAGTTCTTAAGTGACTCTGAGAATTACTAGCAAACTATTTAGCTACATTACCAACACCAGTACATATTCCAGAGACTACACTGAATACAAAAACAATTGCAATTCAAATAAAAGTTGAGGGTTACCCACAGTGGTTTCTTGGAGAGACTGAGAGAGGTCTTTATTTTGGAAACTTTCTAAACAATTCTTTCTTCTGCTTTATGCAAGCAGAATTAGGAGAACTACTTAAATCATCAGTCTTTCTTATTTACCACATAAAGTATAGAGTATAATAAAATGGGATAAAGTGTGAGTACATGCATTCATTGGGAAGAATATTTAAAAATATATTACTGAAAGTAACAAAATAAAAAGCTAATAGAATATTATCCTGATTTTGAATCTGACCACAAGCTATATATGCATATGTGTTTTTGTGTCTGTAAATGCATAAAGTCTTACAAGATACATACCAAACAGCTAACAATGCCCAGAATAGGTAGAAGCTCTCAAAATCAGCCACTGTTTGTATTACAATGAACATCACTCACTTTAAAACCATAGACATCACACAGGTGAAGTGCATGGCAAACAGGAGATGGCCAATAATGTCAAATTACTTTTCCAAGTATTGAATTGACAAGGATCAAAAGAATCAATTATTACTAGAACAAGAGAAAAATACCATATATACCAGGATTTCAGAGAAATCATTTTCATCTCAGGTTATAATGATATAATACTATTATCTGAAAGTCTAGAAAAATCATACAAATTTAAGAAAATCTGACTACCATTTATTTCCACCCCTTTTTTTTAAGTGCTGCCCTTTAAACACAGAAGTCAGTATATTTCTCTTCTACAATTAGCCTATTGCTGGAGCTTGAATACCAACACTACGTACTTTCTCAGTTACTCAAAACCATATGTATGAATAACAGAAAATACTGTATCAGAGAAAAGGGTTTTGCTGTTGTTTGGTTTTTGAGATACTTATTACTACTGTTCCAGCCTGGCCTAGATGGGATCTTGACATTACCCCAGGCTGACTTGGATCTCTGTAGCCCAATCTAGCTTTGAATTCATGGTTCTCCTGCTTCAGCCTCCAAAGGGCTGGGATTACAGGCATGCCACCATTTCTTACTCACCATTTCATTTCTAGCAACATGTAAATGTATATTAGTGTGTTAAATTGCTATTATATCACTTTTTAAAAATAATATACTACAAAAATGCTTTCTCAAATATAATTAAAAATAATTTTAATAGTAGCCAAATACAATTTTGTTAATTTTTTTAAATTTAAATTTGAACAAGCTTGTATTACATATCAATCCCATTCCTGCACCCTCCAGTCCTCCCCGTTCCCCCACCAACCCCCATCCCATCCCCTTTCTGCTCCCCAGAAAGCAGACTTCTATGGGGAGTCTTCAAAGTCTGTCATACCATTTGGATCATGGCCTAGGCCCTTCCCCATGGCAAGACACATGTTTAATAGAAGACCATTTGTAATAGCAGGCATAATTTACTTAAGATTTGCTTATGGGGCTGGAAAGATGGCTCAGTGGTTAAGAACAATTGCTGCTATTCCAGAACACTGCCAATTCATTCCCCCAACACTATGTCCAGAGGCTCACAACTACCTGTAACTACAGCTGGAAGAATACAGATACCTTCTCCTGGCCTCCATTGGTACTACACTTATCTTCACTATCTTCACAGTCCCACAGACACAAATGCACATAAGTAAAAGTAAACCTTTAAAACGTTTAAAATGTCCAAATGTTCAATTTGTCCAAATTTTTATTATTACAATAATAAAAATATAATAATCTCTGAAGTTATAATTTTTCTTAGAATGATCACTTTATAAACTTTGTACTTTTTCAAATAAGGTTTCTCTTACTGACTATATTGGCAGCCATTATCTTAACAGTTACTAAATTTTTTTTCTCATTTTCTATGAGAATCAAGATATTTTTACTCATACCATTCACATATTTATATTTGGCTATTATTATGCCTTTTCTCCTTTTTGTTATTAACATTCTGAAAGATTTTGAGCCCAATTTTATAATGCTATTATTCCCCAGTATCTTCCCCCCCAAAAAAATAAACTACATCATGGAATTTACTTGAGCATGAGTTTATAGCTTTAATCTAGAAGAAACTCATACAAATTAGTAAAGTTTGCTTTTTCGTTTTGAAATTCTGAATATTGGACTGTGATGGGAGATGCCATTATGTATATATGTTTCTCATACTGGTTAATGAATAAAGCACTATTGGCCAATAGGAAAGCAAGGTAGGTGGGACTAGGAGACAAAGAGGAAAGAGGAAGTAGTAAGGAGGAGTGAGGATGGAGAGTCTGGAGAAGGCAGGATCACCAGCAGCCTCTCTCTGGTAAGACCACATGGAAATACATAGAAATGGGCTAATACTTAAGACAGAGCTAGCTAATAAGAAACTAGTACCTGGCCAACAGAATTATATCTAATACAGAGTCTCTGTGTGTTAATTGGGGCTGGTGCGGCGGCGGGACAAGACTGGTGGCGGGAGGAAAAGCCATACTCGTTACAAGACTGGGCAGTGGTGGCTCATGCCTTTAATGCCAGCACTTTCAGGAGGCAGAGGCAGGTGGATCTGATCTACAGAGTGAGTTCCAGGACAGCCAGTACACACACATCTGAATATTAATGTGTGTGGTGGAAGTCAGTAATCATAGCTAGTCCTAAGATGACTGAAGCAAGAAGGTTTTGAGTTCAAGGCTAGCCCAAGCTACATTAGGAAGACTTTGTCTCAATTTTTTACAAGTTATAAATGACAAATCATTTCATTTTTATAGTATTTTCAATTTTGTAAATTCAAATATAAATATTAAAAATATTTAAGTACTTGGTTTTTCTACCATTATTAGAAAGTCTTCAGACTTTATCAAGTTTATGTTAAATAATTATACATATTTTTTCCTCTACCAGTAACTCTCTAAAACACCAAGTCTCTACACTGTTTACAAATCTCATAAATGACAAGGCAGGACAAAAAAAAATTTGCTTTAAGAAGTAATTTATTAGCTTTGGGGCAAGGTCTCAAGAATATTCTACATATTTTTCAACTAATCTGAAAAGCATAATTACTAATAAAATTCTTACAAATGCTTGATTCTGTTTTTAGTCTATTTTATCTCATTTGTTTCTGACTTTAAAACACTGTATACTTCTAACTATTAATAATAGCTTTATTCTTGCCTATACGTACAAGGCCCTGTGTTTGATCCCAGCACCACAAAAAGTAAATTATTATAGCTTCAAAATACATTTATGGTATCACTAAACATAATTCCTTGATAATGGTCTTATTTTTCCAAATTGCATTTTTACATATTTTAAACAATTATTCATATAATTAATAAAGAATAAAAGAACAACAAAGCAAAATCTGCCATTGCACAGATTCCCAACTTACTGCAGTTGCCACTCGAACGTTTCCAGATGGGGGTCTTATTCCAGAAGGAGGCCTTCCTGTTAACCCTATTCCACCCCGAGAAATAGGGCGAGGGCCTGGAGATTTGTGGTTACTGGCCATTGTTCACTTTAACCACTGTTTGGAAACAAAAACATAATTCATTTTTTTTCTTTGAGGTTTCATACTCCAAAATACTAGTAACTCATTACACCCTTCCTTCAAATACTTAATTTATGATGATTTATTTTTCTTGCAAGCTGCCATTCCCAGATACTACTACAAGGCTAAATTTGCTTTAATTTTATTGACATTTTACTTTAATATTCTACTTAGAACTGTGGGATTGAGGCTAGTGAAATGGCTCTTTGGTTGTAAAAGCACTTGTTAAGCAAGCCTGGAGACATGAGTTCCATCCCTGGAACCATCATAAATGTGGAAGAAGGAACTGACGCTACAAACTTGTCCTCTGATTCTCCCACATCCACCACCACACACACACATCATGTAAATAATTAAAACATGTAAGTAAACAAAGAATAAATGAGATCATTTACTACAATATTTCTTCTTCAACTTCCCATCTCAGCAAAGGCAAGGCACTCTAATTCCTTCTTTTTGGTTCTATAATACTTAACCATGTTTTTATCTGTTCCTATTATCACTCTCAGCAAATAATTCGATTTCCTAGTAATCTGAGAAATTTAGAATACAAATTCTATCACTTTTTTGCATACAAAACAAGCTAGGCTGTCCTGTTCTCCAGTATCAACAGTTATCCCTCTCTCATTCATGATTAAACTCTATTCTGATGTGCCCTCTTCAACCCACCATGTGTTACAGTCCACATCTCCCTTGAGATATTCTCTCCACTACTGCAGCAATCTTTACAATTTACTTCTTTCACTCTATTGCCATGTTTAAGCTTTTCCTAACCACAGAAACAAATTTATTTGTCCTGCAAACTCTCCTCTAACCTGCACACAAAGTCCTCCTTATGTAATCAGGCTTTGTAGAGTGGCTGATTTCCACTACCTCCTTGATTTCCATACTCCATTTAAATCCGCTCTGCCAATATTACAGGGATATAAATGTCATCGATGACTGGTATGTGCTCTATGTGAAACCATCACCATGACACTAGCCTACTCTAATTCTCTTTTCAGGCTCCTTCATCCTCTTACTTGACTGTATATGGCAGCATTACACACAATGCCATCCAGTCTCATTTTCTTATGTCCACATTCAGGGTTTTAGCAAACAATGAACTCTGATATACAAAACATCAGGTTTTTATATGCAAAACTTGATTCTTCACTCAGACCCAGTTAATGAAAATCTATCATTTTCCCCACATCTGTCCTTCCTCTTGGTATTACCTCCTACTCACTCAAGTCAGAAACTTGGTCCTTGATTTCTCCTCTTTCTATCACTTACAATGGCCTATTGCTTTAATTCCTTCAGATGCTGAACACATACTTTCCTCTCTATCTTTACAGTCCTGGCAGCCAGTTTTTAGGGCCTCACTAATTCAAGTAGGTTATCCTATCAGCCTCTTCATGAATCTCCTTGCCTAACATATCTTGCATGCTGCATCTCCTCCACTTTCTTAGGCTTACTGGGCTGTTGCATACACTGCCATTTATCCTGCAAAACTCTGCCCAGTACCTTTCACAGTAACTGAAAGAATATGCTTAGGTACTCCTTTCCCTTGAGAACAAGAGCTGGTTCACATCTTTAAACCCCAGCATCTGTCTCAGCAGCAAGCAGAAACTATGTTTTTATTATCTCTTAATCTCCTCCTATACAAAGGCATCCCAATTACCAACGTTTACTGAATTTGGCCTCAGAAAGTAGTTCAGTGGTAGAGAAAATAAAAATACTGTGAGATTAACCAACCTCCAGCACCACCAAGGGAATAAGTAAATAAGTAATAAGTAAGTGTTTGAGGAGATATGTCTATCTTGACTCAAATTTTTTAAAAATGAACTAGGTATGGTGGGCATGCCTGTGATGAGAAGGAGGGAAGGAATTACTATGACTGCAAACAAAACACAGTTAAACTGAAGTGCTTTATTGCATTTCTCTTTTTCTTTACATCACCCTATAATCCTTCATCATACTGTTAACTTCTACAATCTTATACACTTTTGAGTTCCAACGGTAATAATGCATAAATCAGTTCTCTACAAGTGTATCATTCAAAACAGGCACTGATTCTAAATGTTTACTTGTTTACTGAAAATTTCCATTTGGGCATCTATACAATTGCGGTAAATAAGGGTCAGGATAAACAAATAGGCCGAATAGATGTTTATTCAGGGAGAAATAACTTACAACCTAGACAGATGAACACCAGGAAATTCAAACCGATCCTCTCCTGTCCGAGTCACGCCAGAAAGAGAGCGCCTTCCTGGCCCCCTCCGACCTCCTTCCTCAGGTCACCTCCGCCCATCGCTCCACCCCCCCAATGGGCGTGGTCAGTGCTACAGAAGGACTACCTCACTACAATTCCCCTTTTAGTCTAAAGAAAAGATTTAGGCTTAATACAAAACTATATACAAAACAGTGAATAACAAGCGTGCTCTAAGAAAAGGAAAATCGAGAACAAAATGACCTACATATCTAGTCCTAGGGTGAGGGCATAATGGAGTTTACAATAGAGTTGTCCTAAGCTGGAAAACGTAAGTCTAGTACCTAATATATCTAACTAGGAAGAGAGAATAATAGTTGTGATAGTTTAATCTTCAACCTCATCAAGACCTGAGAAGGAAAATAACAATACTAGAGTAGACAGGAAATGCGGATGGACAACTTCCAAAACGGTGCAGCAAGGACAGAAACAGCAAGCCACCTGAACAGTCACCCTAGGTCTCACAGCGACGTTGGTACACCCAGATTTGGCTAAGGCCAAGAGAACTTGACAGACCACAACAACAGCAGGGAAATAGAATGGCTGTCTTACCCTGACTTGGCAAGGTCAAGCAGTCTTCTATATTTGTCTCCTGCAAGCACATAGGACTGCATGTCCAAATCAGTGGTCAAGGTGGGGGCAATTCTATGCCCAACAGGCCATTAGCTGAGGCGAGATTGAACTCCAGCACACCAACTTTAGAATCTTTCTATTCCAAGAAGTGCCCTGCCCCTGCTTGGTATGGTTTTGAACTACACAGAGAGATCAACAGCATTATTATAAATGAAATCAAAAGTTAAATGAAGTACCTTTTTCAAAGACAGGCCCTATAGTCAAAACACTTTGTCAAAAGAAGTAAAAACACCAAGTAATTCCAGCACAATTAGTCACTGTTACTCCAGCTTTCCTGTTAACAAAATGTTAACAATACAAAAAATCTACTGTATTTTTTTTAATACTGCTTTACTGTAGTGGAAAATGTCTAACTTACGTTAGTCCCACTTGTGTTAAGAGAAACAGGAGGAGGGCACAAATATACCCCTATACCAGGGGTGGTTCTACCCCTAATCATGGGGGAGGGCAGTATCCACACAATCTCAGACGCCACAAGGATCAAGGATACAAATTCTATCTCTGATGGTAACCACTGCATAGCCTTGGCACACAATCCCATCGGTTGGGATGTGTTTTCTCTAAAACAAAAGTGTGACCTGACCGCCTGCTTTGCTTTGCAGAGCTGTGAAGTTCAGTTCTTACATGGAACACATCAAGTCTTTCCTTGCTTTTACTACCATTATCCTCCCCAGGCTAAGCACTCTGACTTGGGTTAAGGGAAAAGTTGCTAAGTCCCTTCTCCCCGTAACCGGCTAACAGCCTGCTCCTTTCTGAGGCGCCAGTATCCCTGCCTGTGTTGAAACTTCCCAGGCCAAGCCTCCGTCCCCAAGTTACCGAACAGCCAAGAGCCCACGAATTCGAATTTATTCAGCCGCCACAGAACGATAGCCCACGCAGGGAGAAGGCGCGGAAGCCGAGATTCCTCACCTTGCCGGGGCGAATAGCCCTGGGGACCCCGCAACACGAACCTCTCTCTGGGGAGCCCGGACAAGCAGTACCGCTCCCCTAAACACTGCCTGGGCGCCAGGCCTCAAAGCCCTGCGCGACGCCGCGTATCCCAGCAACGGCCACCGCGCGGAAAACTCCCCTCGTGATTGGCCGGCGCCGTGCCTCCCATCCCGGTACCTAAAACTGGACCTGGGGTGGGGGTCTCGCGAGATTTCAGGGCAGCCTTTCCCTCCTCTGTCTCTCTTTCTCACCCCTTCTTCCTTTCATTCCATGCTTCCCCGAAGGAAGTGATATCCTCAATCTTTCCATTGCCAGAGCTCCTTTTTTACCTAAGTTTGTAAGGAAGGCTGTGTAATTGAGAGTGTCCTTAAGGGATTTGTTTTGGAAGGTCTTGTTTTAGGGCTGCTGGCCTCTAAGTCACGATAGAGCCTGGTGAGACAAGTACTTCTCTTTAGAACGAAACTGTTTGTAGTGGAATTTGCTTTTTGTTTGTTTGTTTGTTTGTTTGTTTGTTTGGGTAACTAAACGTTTGGCAGATTTCTTGCCTTACCCAGGCCAGCTCCCCTACAGGAAATGAGAGTGACTTGCATTGGATGTGCCAGTCTTTCTTATAGCAGGATCTGAGTTTATTGCTTGCTAGCTCTAACCTGATGCACACACCGGAAATATGTATGTAACTCGTAAGGAATGCTTCAGGGGTCTATTTAAGCAACTATATCCAGGTTTTAAGATTGAAGGTTTTTGTTTTTAGCTTTAGATAGGACCTCTATGTAACCCTGCCTTGCCTGTCTTGGAAACTCGTTATGTAGATCGAGCTTAATGTGTTTAGATCCTCCCGCCTCTCCCAAGTGCTGGTGTTAGACTTGCTTCTTAATAAACTTCAATAAATTATTTTTCTGTTTTTCGTTTAAACATAGTTGCTGTGCCTTCCAGTTAACAACTCTGACATATGTAACAGTTAAATGGGCAGGACCGGTGTTCCTGAACCAGTTTTAAAGAGATTAAGTAAATTTGCTTTGAATCGTCTGGGTAATCGGCAGTGTCCCCTGTCCCCATGATGCTTATGTAATGAAAACAATTCAGGAATGCATCTCATTTAATGGCCTCTCAGCTTTCCTAGGGAAGGGAATCTATTTTATTTGACTTTAGTCATTTTCATTTTGTCTTTGATTGCAGTGGTGTGGTACTGGGGATTGAATATAGAGCCCCCTAGATGTTTAGGCAAGCTCTGTACCACTGGGATACAGTCACAGTCCAAGATTTTGCTGTTTCTTTATAGGGACTTACTTAGGTTATATCAAGTAACTGAATACTTCAAGTGTGTGTATGTGTCAAGTTTTCTGTCTGAGGATCTCAGCTTCTTAAACTGTAAATCATGAACCCTTGTGGGGTGTGACTGAATGTGGGGGTTCCTGCCAAATGTACAGTAGTAAAATAAAAATTGTGAACACACACTGAGCAGTAAAGAACAAATGTTAATGAATCGGAGGTGTTTGTGACAACACTCACCCATGTTGCATCTCATGACTTCACTAAAGCTTTGGTTCTGAAGCACACGTGCACTCTGCACTTCCAATACCATCACAGTATACTGCCAGTGCTACCTGAAACACCTTGGCTCAGATTCAAGACTATTGCATGCTATGAACTGCAGCCTTTTCAGTATATAGCTTTCTACTCTTATTAAAATATAACTGAACTTTTGAGGTATGAAAGTAACAGGAAATAGCTTTGCATTTCAAGAGAATCCAACATATATCATTTCCTTGAGCAGTTATTTTGAAAGTTGGTCTTTCATTTAATTCCATTCACTATTACTGTAATACGAATTAGACATGATTAATCACTGAATACACCAGCACACTGGCTAACTTTAAAAAGTTTGTTTCATTGTTTGGGGGGGGGGGAGTATTTTGGAACCTGAAATTGTTTCCATTTTCTTTTATTTAAAACTATAACAGATCATTCCAATATAATGCTATTTAATATGTAAACTGGATTATCATACATATGGTATGACTATTTTTTAAAAATTAAGTCAAAGAGAAAAAACAGTGTCTTAATTATAGAAAATAAAAGCTCAGTATTTTTGTATCATTATTCCTTAGTATGTAAGTATCAAATTGGTATATCATTGAATTTTATTGCACTAGAATGATTGCTTTTAAAGAACTTTAATTTGATGACTTGAGTTGAAAAAAAAAAAAAAAAGCCAAATGAATTTGGGCTTGAATTAGGACAGAATTTCTAGGAGAGCCCTGAACAAATTTCTACCATTTTGTATAATGTGTTTATGCAAAGTGTAATTCTCAGCATTGGTGATTATAAAATCAAAATACTGGTCCACTCTGAAAAACACTAAGTTTGGTTCCCAGCACCCTTACCCAGTGGCTCACAACTCTACTCCAGGGTATCCACCTCCCTCTTCTGACTTCCACTGACCCTGCACTCATGTGCATATAAACACACAGACACACACATATATACTTAATTTAAAAGAAAGCAAATCTTAGTTACTAGTTTGAGCAGTACGTGTTACAGGAAAATTAAGTAAGATAATGCTGGGATCCCTGCAAGTTCTTCTGCTGGCATGGAAACTCTCTGTATGTCAGTTGGGCTTGACTTAGTCAAGATGGATCAAACTTCTAGAGAGTCTGATGCCAGGCAGATCACTGTAATGTGATATTTAATGTAATGCATATTTAAACACAGTACAATTTGAAAAAGTTTACATGCAACAATCATTTCCAATCCCAGGTGCACAATAAAGCTTACTGAATGACTACATAGAAACTCTTTCATTTATTACATGTTAGCATGAAGATAGGATCTACAGCTTAAAGGCCCAGGATCTGGTGTGGTCTCTGACTGAGATAGCATAGAGGTCAGCAGGACTGTATGGTACTCACTGAGACTTTTTTTTTCACATCACACACCCACTTTTCTTTAGTAAGTGGGGCCCACAAGCTTTCAACCATTTGATGAATCAGCTCTTTCTTTCTTCTTGTTTTGTTTTGTTTTTCTGACAGGGTTTCTCTGTATTACTTTGGAGCCTATCCTGGAAATACCTCTGTAGACCAGGCTGGCCTCGAATTCACAGAGATCCACCTGCCTCTGCCTCCTGAGAGCTGGGATTAAAGGTGTGTGCCACCAAAGCTCGGATTTGAATTTCTTAATTTTAGCTCAAACAATGTGTTATTATTATATTTTAATATCAAAGAAAATAAATGAAGACTGTGATTAGTTTCCACAATTGTTAAATGAATTCAGCAATTATGTGGACAATGTTTCCAAAGCATAAGAAAAGATATGGTTCCCTCATTGTTGAGCAAGGGATAAAAAGCTGTCAGCTGGAAAGTGTCTCTGTTCTTTCTGAGCACCACAAGCCTGAAAACAGCCATTATCTGATGTACCGCCATGTAAGAAAACGTACTGAATTGTATTTGCTTTGAAAGCTCTGTGATGTTCTGCATCACCGGCAAGTACAACACAATTTATGAGCTGTAGAGTTCCCTGCTTACATTACTCCACATCATACAAAACGGTAGTTTCCAGGCCGGGTCCTGCGCTAAGTGACTGCATTTTATAAGACAGCAATTTGTCTTTGTTCTTGGCTTTTCCTCCCTCCCATGCCACCAGAGCAGTCAAGCCAGAGTCTTTGTACTGAAAATATTAACCGGAGAAGACGAAACTCACAATGCAGAAAAAAGCCTGGAGCCTGCCAGCTCAGCTGGATAGATTGGTGTCACATACCCCTGTCCTTTAGAGAATCATTCACAAACTAAAGTTTGCTCTTTAAGTCAGACATACTTTGTCCCAGACATTTGTCCCAGAATGTTTTCCAAACTTACTGACTTTTTACAAAAACTGTTTATAGCCACTCGATATTTTCCATAACTCCTACTTTCCGTTCCCTTCAGACATGAAAGGGGTTAGGAATATAGTTTAGTATGAGCTTAACATGCTCACACAAACCCTGGATTCAATTCCTAGAATGATAAACAAAAAAGTCAACACACCTATAGACATGAAGTATATCAGCATCTATCATGTTCCCATGAACCACAGAATAACTATGAATGTGTCCCAATACATTTGAAGATAACAGTGTCATACAGCAATGCCAAAACATCAGACATTCCTGAATCACTTAGGCGTCGTGAGCATTTACACTATGTGGCTGCAATCCATATAATTTTTCACATATTTAATGTTTTTCTCAGTTTGTGGCAGCAAAAAGAGCAGAGGCCATAGTTCCCTACATTCTATTACCACAATTTTATACTTATATACACACACCAAATATCACTACTAATTGTTAAGATTCCTTGTTTTCAGTTTGGTAAAATTTGTTTCAAGTTACCCACCTTGACCCCTACTGATCTCGACTTTATTTCATCTTTCATGTTAGTTTTTTTTAATAATGAATTTAGGCTGTTGTTGGTTTTAAGACAAGATCTCTCTATGCAGTTCTGACTGTCCTGGAACTCCCTATGTAAACCAATCTGGCCTTAAACTCCGAAATTCAACTGCCTCTGCCTTCTGAGTCCTAAGATTAAAAGTGTACACCATCAAGTCCAGCTGAATTTGGGCTTTTAAAACAAAAGCCCAAACACTGAAAGCATGAAAGCATCATACTGAGAACAAAAACTATATGTAATTTTATGTCTATTTTTATTAATTTAGGGCTTTTGTTTTGAAACAAGGTTTCTTTGTGTGGTCTGGTTGTCCTGAAATTTGCTGTGTAGACCAGGCTGGCCTCAAACTCAAGAGATCCAGCTGTTTCTGCTTCTCAAGTACTAGGACTAAAAATGTACACCACCAAGCCAGGTGCAGTGGCCCCTACCTTTAACCCCAGCACTTAGGAGGCAGAGTCAGGCAGATCTCTGAGAGTTTGAGGCTAGCCTGGTCTACAAAGCGAGTTTGGGAAAAAGAAAAAAGGAGTATGTCACCAAGCCTGGATTTCTATTGTTTTTTTTTTTTTTTTTTTTTTTTTTTTGAGACAGGGCCTCACTATGTAGACCAGGCTGGTCACAAACTCAGAGATTCATCTGCTTCTGCCTCTGCCTCCTGAGTAGCGGGATAAAGGTGTGTGACACCACACCCTGCCCTGCCCTGCCTTGCCCTGGTCATTACCCTGCTTCCTTTATTGCTATATCTGAAGATCAAACTCAGGGTCTCATAAATTTAATGAAAATACTACTACTGAGCTATATATACCACTAGCCCAGTTTGTATAAACCTAGATGGCTATAATGACTGTCCTACTATCCTATCTATTGCCTTTAAAAAGAACTATTGATATTGTGGAGATTTCTCCTACATGCCCTCAGGCATGAAAGTTTATGAAAGTGGACAGTTAGAAGAAATCCCTAGTTTTTAAACATTTGAGTCCTTAACATAAAATGTTATAATTAGAAAAAAAAAGCCCCAAGAATTCATTCTTACTGTACACAGGATTTAAGTTCAGTCAACTGTTATGTTCTTGATATGTGACTTTAAAATTGTTGTTGTTAACTAAACAATTAAATCAATGAAAACTACCACACACCCCCATGCTATTGAAACATTAACTAGCAGAGCTATTTTAAGCCCAAGAGTTCTAACAGTTTGGGTTCCATCTAGGAACCATGAGGGGAAAACTTGCATCACATGTTCTAGGAGCAAGATGCAAGACTAAGAACATGTACATGACTATTTGAAGTGTAAAGTCCCAGAGGAAGCTTTGGCCATTTTTTTTTTTTTTTATGTTCTATAAAGTTCTATTTATTGGGGCTGGAGAGATGGCCCGGCTCTTGCTCTGGCTGCTTTTCCAGATGACTCACATCTGATTCCAAGAACCTACATGGTGGCTCACAACTATAACTATAACTCCAGTGCCAGGATATCTGACATCCTCCTCTGACACATATATACAGGCAAAATATTCATATGAAAGCATAAAAATAATTTAAAACTTAAAAGATTCACTTGTTTTTATGTGTATGAGTGTCTACACATATTTATATGTATCAAGTGCATACAGTGCCTGGAGAGAGCAGAAGAGGGCATCCGATCTCTAGACCCAGAGTTATAGATGGTTGTCAGCCATGATACGGGGGCTTGGGCCTGAGCCCAGGTCCTCTGGAAGCCAGTGCTTTTAACCACTGAGCCTGTTTCCTGATTTTGATTAGTTAAGTTAAAATATCTGGGTACTGTTGAGTTGGGCTTCAGAGCTTGGGTCATCTTAGCCTAATAGCCACTTTGGGGTTTCGTTCTTTGGTTTTCCAAATTCTTTATCTGTGAGATGGAGATTATATTCTCTACTCTGCAGGATTACTGTGAGGACTAAATGAGAAACTACTATATATATATATATATATATATATATATATATATATATATGTATATATGCCACTGAGTACTGCAAACTCTGGAATACAGAAAGAGAGATACACAAGAAGGACTAGGGAGGGACTTAGAGATTTGCAGTCTTTTGGTTTAGGGTGAGTGGAGAGACACTTTCTGGATCTCCAGACAAAAAGGAAGATCAGCTGGTTGCTTCTCAGTTTCTCTGATCTAGCAGGTTCTCACACCAACATCTGACTCCTTTGTTGGTATATAGAACAATAGAGACTTAGTTAAAACCTACATGACCTGAACAAGGGGGAGCTCATGGACCCCCAGACTGATAGCTGGTAAACAAGACCCTGACTGTGGGTCCCAGTTAGAAGGCCTGGACAGACTAAGGGACCTCTGACAGTGAAACCAGAATGTGTCCCTGGTGCACCAAAGAACTTTGGGAGCACATTCCCCATGGAGGAATACTCCCTTAGCCTAGAGGAAGTGGGGAGGGCCTAGGCCCTACTCCAAATAACTTGACAGATTTTGATGATCCCTCCTGGAAGGCATCACCCTCCCTGTGCAGTGGGGGGGGGATGGGGTGAGAAGGGGTAGGGGAGCATAGGAGAGAGGGAGAGGGAACTGGAATCAATATGTAAAATAAGAAAAAATAATAAAAATAAAAAAAAACAACCTATATTTGGTGACCATGTCTGAGCCAGAAGGAACAGAAATCCCGACAGGCTGCCATCTGAGCAGCCAAGGTGATGACTGCTGGACCTGGGAGCTTCAGGGTGGCCACTAAGCAGACAGAAAACATCTATTATATAGAAAGCAGTAAATCTGATGGTTAAGATTGAGGATCAAACTCAGAGTCTCATCTACCTCAGGGTCTCAGGGGTGGTACACTGCCATAATGACAACACTCGGGGGCTGACACAGGAAGCTTGCTATTAAGTTTGAGGCAGCCAAGACTATCAAGAGACTGGTCATGGTCAATAAGACAAACTGAGTTGTTGAAATGTCTCAGTGGGTAAAGGTGCTTGCCACCCCACCAAGCTTGAGGACCTGAGTTAGATCCTCAGGACCCACATGGTAGAATAAGAACTACTTCTTGCAAGTTGTTTTTTGATCCCTATATGTGTGTTTGGTGCCTGCACATACACAAACACACACACACACACACACACACACACACACACACTCACACACGAGAGTGAGAGAGAATACATATAATAAAAATTAAAAGAAAAAAAACTAACAGCAACTATAAAAAAGATTGAAAAAAATGAAATTTCCTGAAGAAAATTCAGTCATGTAGAAATGATGGCTATACAAATGTTACACCATGGACACTAAATTGGCAATGAATAAAATTATATTGACCAAAAAGGAGTTAGGATGGCCTAGAAGATAAACTGGTGTTGAACTGTGACAGAAAAAAGAATACAGTTTTGGTGTGTGGTGGTAGTGGTGGTGGTGGCGTGTGTTTCCAAGATAGGTTTTCTTTGTTACAGTCTGGCTGTCCCAGAACTTGCTCTGTAGACCAGGCTGACCTTGACCTCACAGAGATCTGCCTGCCTCTGCCTCCTGATGGAAAGGTGTGTGCCACCACCAACTGGCTTCTGTGTTTTCTTTTTTTAAATGTTGTTTTTTAAGGTTTATTTATTCTGCCTGTATGCATGCCTGCAGGCCAGAAGAGAGCACCAGATCTCATTATAGATGGTTTTGAGCCACCATGTGATTGCTGGTAATTGAACTCAAGACCTCAGGAAGATAGGAACTTCTCCTGTAGTCAGAATGGCCTAGAATTCACTATATAGGCCACATTCCTATGTCATGATTTTCCTATAAGCATTCCCTGGGATTACGGGTTGTGTGTTTGTTTTAGAAACACAGAAATATCACCTTCAACACTGAGGTTTGTTCAGGGAAAAAATGAGAAATTCAACATGGCTGGGGCAGACACATGCCTAAGGGAAATGACTTTAGTAAAATAAATTAGGGAGCAGAATGCTATTGGGGTTACTGAAGAAAGGAAATAATACTTAGATCTAGAGTTTAGAAAAAGAATGCCATTTTAATGTGTAGAACTGGCTGGAGAGCTGAGGTAGAAAACGAGAGAATGTTAAAATAATTTAAGTCACTAGGCAGACATTTCTAATAGACAGTTGAAAATACCCAAAGGTTGAAAATATAATCTGAGGAAAGCTTACCCAGTGAGTATATAGCAGAAGAGGGTTTAAAATGTCAACATTTCTGGGCTCAGATCTGAGAAACATAAAGGAATAGTGATTTCAAGTCTAGCATGAGAGTTTTAAGACGATCGAGTAAAGAAAAATGCACAATAGATTTAGAAAATGAATAGAAGTTTGTGCTGTGGTGGACGCCAGGCAATAATAATACAGAAGGCAAACTTTACTACAATATAGAATGATACTCACCATGTAATATAGAGACACCAAGCAGCACCATGGAGGTCTGGCTAAAAATATGTATTTGTATCTGTAATTTCAGCTCTTAGAGATTAGAGCAGGAAGAACCAAGAGTTTGAGGCCAGCCCGGGTTATAAACTAATTAATTAAGGGTATTCTCTGCCCTCTCTTAGACCTACTGACCCAAAGCGGCCAGGCAACAGTGGTCACACTAGAAAGAATGGATTTGAACCATCTCATTTATTTGCAAAATCAGATAGTATGGGTAAGAACATGGGGTAGCTTGAACTGAAGAAATGTAATACGTTCCCACTTGGCTCCAGATTCTGTCACTTTAAATGAAAAACAATTAATTTACGAAAATCCAGACAGACTCTCCAGAGGCATGCCAGAAACTGGGTAATCAGATCGTGAGGCAAGGCAAAGAGGGAAATTCATTCCACCATTTCACAGCACTTAGATTTAAAACATCCCAATTCAGCGCGCGGGCGAGCCTCCCGGCACGCGCGGCCTTGTGGGACTTGTAGTTCCGGCTTGCTCCCTTATACTTCTACAACTCTTCGGTTGTTCTCTGAAATGGACCGGGTTCTGACAGCACCTGGACCTCGGGCGCCTAAGCAGAATGTCCGAGTCCCGCCGTTCTTTCCTCGGCCCGCGATCCAGGGCACAGAGGAGGAGAGAGCCTCCGCGCAAGTCGCCTCAACATCAGGGCGCACACAGTCTGCGTCACCGCGGGCTGCGGCGGATGATGAATTCCGGTGTGCTTGTTAGGGTTGCTGTGTCACTCAGTCCGACCGGCGCGCCCCTTCCCCCGCAGTCCTTCCGCACCGGCTGACGGGCTCTTCCGGTCTCCCGCGCCCCTCACCTGCAGGCGGGTCTCGGGCCGCAGCCTGGCGCACGCCGGCTCGGGCCTGTGGACTAGTCTCGCGCTGTGCCCGGGAGCCGGGCTCCGGACCCACGCTTGCCATGGCGAGCGGCGCTGCTAGATACCGGCTGAGCTGCTCGCTCCCGGGCCACGAACTGGACGTGAGGGGCCTGGTGTGCTGCCTCTACCCGCCGGGGGCCTTTGTGTCTGTGTCCCGGGATCGCACCACCCGCCTCTGGGCCCCAGACAGGTGAGCGTTTGCAAGTCCTGCAGCCCGCGGTGGATCTCAGGCTTCCAGACACGTGGGGGGGGGGGGATGACCCTCCTTCCCTGCCGTGTACCTCTCCCTCTTCCTGGAGTCAGTTCTGCTCCCGCCTCCCCGAGGACTTCCGAGCTTTCGCACTCTGCGAAACAGACAGAATTTCGGGGAGTGGATGTGGGATTGGAGGACCTGGCTGCCTGTCCTAACTTTATCACTAACGGGTGACTTGACCTTGGATGAGCATCTTAAAATGCCTGGAGCGGCTTCAGCTTTGTTAGATAACCCCTCGGGTTTCTTTTAGACTTCAGTATTTATTGCTCCTGTGCAAGTCTCCCAGTTTCAGTAATATTGGAAACATCTGGCTTGCCCCTCGCTCCATTCACAGGAGTTGCTCTGTAGTCTTCTTCACTTTCAGTTTTTGCAGACTGTTCTCAGTAATTGCCTTGCAGAGAGTTACGCGTGGATTCCTCTCCTGGTTGCCTAGGCTATAGGGAAGAGGATGAATCCCCTCGAATGCTGATTGTTGTATAGAAATATGCTATTTCTTGAGAATAAAGAAAAAAAATACCATTGCCTTAAGAAGTTCAGCCTGCAAGTCCCTTCTCCCACAAAGTTAACCAAAAGTTAAAATCCAGGCAAAATCAATATCAGAGATTACGTTTGAGCACTGATTAGTCAAGAAATTTCAGGCTTTAGTAAACAGATTTCAGTTTTCAGGAAGAATGGAACTTAGGTGATGAATACCTTATATTTTGTATCTTGAGAAGAAGTGACATTACTGACAAGGTGACAGATTCTCTGTGTTTACAGAACTGTCTTGTAATCTCTTGGGAGAATATAGATCAAGAAGCAAGCAAATGTACATATTCAGAGTTAGGCGGGAAGGTTTTTTGTTTTGTTTTTGAATTGGGTGTGTGTGGTGGTGGACATATCTATTAGGAGATAGAGTGAACTAATCCTTGGAAGGTGGAATGGGCCGACTATAGGCAAGTCAGTTAGCATAACAAAAAACTGAGGTCCTGGATTGATAAGGGAACGTTCTAGGGTGGCAGGAGATAAACTGTGATATGAAAGCAGGTCTTAAAGGCTGTCAGGAACCTTATGGGGTTTGTATGTAAAAACACTCAGTTTCAAGCAAGGAACAATTTGGTATAATGTGATTGTTAAATTTCTGCTTGCTAGAGGTAGAAAATAGTCTAAAGGCAAAGTGTAGAAGTAGATCTGTTTGATGGCTTTTGCAGTGCAGCCAATTTGTGATGGTAGAATAGTGTGGGAATATTATAGGGCAGGGTTACTTTCAGCTGTTCTGGTTTGTGTCTCAGTCACACAGTCTCTACATCTCAGCAATAGTTCTCATGATATAAAAGGAGTCTCTGTAGCTGGCATACTGAAAGTGTTTACTTCATGGTGTAGTCATTGAGTTAATGAAGGGCTATATCATATTGGGAGTCAAGGAGTAAATGAAATTTGTTTTTCTACATCCATTGTCAATATCATCCTGGACCATAAAAATAAGTGAAGAGATGAACTTAGGATGATGGGAGAATTTAGGAGGTAGAAATAGCAGATTTTAGGATGGACTAAACACCTAGGTTTTAGCCAAAGTCCATCGAAAACCCAGAAGGTCTAGCTCAGCAGATTTGTGTACTGAACTGAACCAGCCAAAATGCCATGGTCTCACACTGCTTTTCGAGACAGGGTTTCTCTGTGAAACAGTCCTGGATGTTCTGGAACTCACCATGTAGATCAGTCTGGTCTGGAACTCAGAGATCCACCCACCTCCGCCTCCCAAGTACTGGGACTAAAGGTGTGCACCATCACTGTCCAACCTGCTTCAGACCTCTTTAAAGTATCACACTGAATAAAATTCTACATGTCTGTCATAAATTTCTGGGGTAGAAGAGAGGAGGTACGCTTCAGCATCTTTGTCTTTATATTGATTGGCCTTTTGAGGACTACCCATATTTAAAGATACAATTTAAAATTTAAGACCTTGTATTTTATTTTAGGACAAAAGTGACTTCTGTCTGGTTAACACTGGGTACCTTGGGTCCTAAATCTTTGTTAGAAAAGCCAGTTCCCTTTCTATCCCACCCAGATTTTTCTTTCCTCAGGAGCAGTATTTTTATCTAATTGCTCATTTTGTGTTTTATTTCTATGTCAATGTGAAAAAAAATGCAGTGTGTTGCAATGCTGTCTTACTGGGTTTTTTTTTTTTTGTTTGTTTGTTTGTTTTTGGTTGTTGTTGTTTTGTAAGACAGTATCTATTAGTTTCTGCTAGGGGACATATGACTCTCTGTTTTCTGCCTCCTTCCATTTCATCTGACTTATGTGCTGATCTTTGCTTAGTTTGACTAAAACCAGTGTTTTGAGACTGTATAAATTTAGTCCATACTTCTGAGTTGTAAACTGGTTTCCTCAACAAGCTTATGACCTTAGCAACCTTTTTTACTTGTTTGGGTTTTCATTTGCTGAGTTTTCTATGTGTTTATCATGATTCCACTTTAAGTTCTTTAAATTGATATTTTGACAACATTGACTAATTTAGGATTTCCTCTTCTAACAGTGAGAACTTCCTCACCTGTCACTGGTGCGCAGGTAATCCTGGGTAACGTCACTGTCAGACTGCTAGTGTTGGATTTCTATTAGAGTTTAGCTTTTGTTTTCTTCATCTTGCCTTACCTTACTGGTGGATATACTCCAGGCACTTCTTGAATGTAGTTTGTTGATAACAAAGGAGTTTCAGACTTGCAAGTTTGAAAACAATTTTTTCTCCTGTCTTGCTATTGCAGTGACACCTGGAGTGGTTGTATGATTCTAAGCCTGAAGTAATCTTTCCTTCTAGATCTTATAGCATTGCTCCATTGCATTTTTATTGATGGTGTTAGGCTGTTGAGAAGTCTGAAGCCATCCTAATTTTTTTTTTTTTTTTTTGAACTTATTATCCCTGCCCCCCTAAAAGGAGCCTGTCTTCATCCATTTCCCTGGACCATTAGTTGGTTCTTAACTACGATAACCTCTGCCCAAAACATCTCAAATTAAACCATTAGTTTTTCCATTTCTTTTCTGTCTTTTTTCTTGAGAACTTCTTGTTCAGATGTTGAGCTTCTTTTCTACATCTCTCTTCCCTTGTGCTACTTTCCAGTGGTTTGACCTGAGGAAATTCTGTTTTATTTGTAGTATCTTCCCATGCTCTATGGATGGGGTAATGATTGGTTTTAAGTTAATTTCTCCTTGGTGGTCTTCTTCCTCCAGATTGTTTTGTTTTCCCACCTCACTGCTTGATTTGGTCATTGTGTTTTATGCTGGAGGTTTTCCCTGGATATCTTGTTATTCCTTATGGGCTCCGATCTGCAAAACTTCTGGGAAGCTGTGCTCCTGGGTGGGGCTTGCTGGCTGAAACCTTTACCAAAGTAACACTATCTGGGGAGCTCTTCTATTTTGCACATCTGCCAACAGGATACTGGCCTGGCCTCTGCTGTTTTGTTTTTGTGTGATTGTGGGCTGTGATATGAATGTACGTGTTCCTTACACGTCAAGAGGCAGTGGCTCTTGAGTGTCTGTGCTGCTGCCTGTCCTCCCGTCACCCCAAGACTTCTTTCTAAAGCGCAAGTTTCATTTTTTCTAGGGATACAAGAAGGCCACTGTCTCCCTGCTCTGCCTCTCTGCCTCCCCCACCAATGATTTTAAGTATTTTTTTTTTTTCGTTGATTTAAGAAGTACTTAATGCTGTGGTACTCAACCTTCTAATGCTGCATCCTTTAGTACCGTTCCTCATGTTGTAGTGACCCCCCCATCGTAGAATTATGTCATTGCTTCTTCATAACTTGAATTTTGCTACTATTATGAATCATAATGTAAATAATATTCAAGATCCCTGTGGGGATTGCAACCCATAGGTTGAGAATCACTGACTTGATATTTAACCATGTAAAATATTGTGGTAGGAGTTTGGAGAGCTACAAAGAAGAAAATGAGACCACATTCTGGAAGTAAGATTCTAATTTAGGTGACTGTAAATGACCCAAACAAACATCTGTGTTGGAAACTGTTAAGGTATATACATAGTTTTACATAGTATACATTTAATGCTGAGTGTCATGTTGCATGGCCACAGAGAATCACAAGTTTGAGCTAAACTTGGACTGTGTTAGAAGACTGCTTCAAAAACAAACAAATAGATTCTTAGCTATTTTTGAGCCATCTCTCCCACCACAGAGACATTTAAAAATATTTTATCTCTTGATTTTCTCTGAGCTTGTTTTGTTTTGTTTTTTTGAGACAGGGTTTCTCTGTGTAGTTTTGGAGCCTGTCCTGGAACTCCCTCTGTAGACCAGCCTGGCCTGAAACTCACAAACAGGAACTCACATAGATCTGCCTGCCTTAGCCTTTCAAGAGTGCTGGGACTAAAGGTGTGGGTCACCACTGCACAACCTTTCTGAGCATATTTATAAAATTATTTTAAATCCCTTTTCAAAAACCCATTAAAGTAGATAAATTAGCTACTACCAAATGGCCTTTGAAGATTTTTATCCCCTATGGTGCAATTTCTGACTGATTCTACATTGTTAATACTTATGTGTCTTATAAGGGTCTGGTTTCTTTGTTGCTATTTTGAGAGATGCATTGAACAGATAACTCCCTTGGCCCTTTTTCTTACTCTGTAGCTCAGACTGTCCTTGAACACTTTTGATCCTACTGCCTTAGCCTACACACTCTGCTCTAATTTTTAAAAAGGTGTGTCTTGGTTACTATTTATTGCTGTAACCAAAGCAACCTATAAAATAAAGCATTTAGTTGGGGGACTTTCTTATAGTTTCAGAGGGTTAGTCCATGAACATATGGTGGGGAGCACAGCTGTAGGCAGGGAGGTAGAGCAGTAACTCAGAGCTCACATCTGAGCTGCAAGTTGTAGGCAGAGAGAGCAAGACTGGGCTGGGCCAGGGCTTTTGAAACCTCCTAGCCCACTCTCAATGACGTAGCTCCTC